ATAAACACCCACTTTAAGATCTTCTCCTATGTGAAACTGAAGCCCCAATATGAGAAATCTAAACCCAGAGAAATTTGGGTGTTAAGAGAATGCTCTTTATTTTACCTATAGGTTTCTTCATTTGAATTGAAAAAATCAAGCATTTGAAGAACATGAGAATTATACATTGAAGGAATTGATAAGATCTCAGGCATTATTTTTAGGGAAACCTTCATATATGCAAAAAGTATCATGTGGAAACCCACCTCAGGAAAACAGCAGAAGTCATGGTACTTAGCGCATCTCCAATGGTACAATGTGCACGGTGCACACGTGACATGAGAGATAGCCACATAAATATTAGTAAATAAATTCTTTCTCTCCTTATTTAAATAATTTTATACAGTATTGGTAAGTTTTCCTCCACAATGTAAAGGAGACCGTCTAGATGTTGACATTGTTGTTGACATTGCAGGAAAAAACTTATCAAAATTGTATAAAATCATTCAAATAAGGGGAGAGATAATTTATTTGCTAATATTTATGTGGCTATCAATCATGCCACATGTGCACCGTGCACATTATAGCATTGGAGATGCTCTTAGCTCTTTGCCGACTTGCTTAATTTGCTCCTCCGGATATGATTAACCAAATCTTTAAATGCACAAATATGACTATGTTATTTATCTTTTCAAAATAGGACTAAAGTACACATTATCTTCTTATTCTAGCCTTACTATAACTTAATAGGATACTCACATGTTACATTATAATAAAAACAATATAATAAAAAGTATACGAATTTATAAAAATACAACAAAAAATACAAAGAATGTAAAAGTTATTTTATAAAATAATAAAATAATAAATAGTACTACGTAATAAAAAATAATTGAAAAAACTTTAAAAGTAAAAAGAAAAAAGAAAAAACACATGTAAAAATATATATAATAAAAAAATTGGAGTTCTTTCCTGCAGCATCGGACCCCTCCCACAAAGCCAACCCCGATCGGCGAAAAAATACCATTGTATGTAAACACTGCAATTTTTTATGTGAAAATTCCATAAATATAAATTTTTTACTCTTTGAAAATGCCAACATTTTTCTCAAAAATTTAACGAATAAATATAAACATGTAGCTTCAAAAATTAAAAAAAAAAAAGATTACAACGAATATGAATACATAAAAAGTAAAGAATAAATTAGGAAGAAAAAAAACAAAATTATATTTGGGACAGTTTTGAGAAGATTTGTAGGAAGTAGAATTTATGGTTTAATTATTTGTAAAGAAATTGAAAAATCCTGAAATAGCAGGTCATCAATCGGTTATGGACCAACAAATAAAGATGAAGTGCAAAGGTTGAATTATTTTTGAATTACGATTAGGTGAAACTATGATAAGAAGACCGGTAAAAAATTGAAGGAAAAACTGTCAATTTGATCCTCATACTTTCATGAAAAAGTCAACCAGTCCTCGTACTTTTAAAAAGTTCAATCAAATCCCTGAACTTTGTAAAAACGTTCAATTGAGTCAATTTACAGGTTCTTGTTATGTCAACAGGTCACCCGTTGACGTGGCGCACATGTGGCAGCCCAATCAACAATAATTTTGCTGACGTGTCACACATGTGGAAGTCCAGTCAGCCGTTTGCTGATGACGTGGCGCATACATGGATCGCCATGTGTGTGCCATGTAATTGGGTAACCCACTGACATGCCAAGTAATTTTTAAAATATACCCAATTGAACGTGTTTTCAATGTTCGAGGATTTGATTGATTTATTTAAAAGTACGAGAACTAATTAACTTTTTCATGAAAATTCGAGGACTAAATTGACAGTTTTCCAAAAATTGAATTACTAGTTTCTATTTTCCCTATTTTTTATAACAATCACAAAACAAATAAAAAAGTTATAAATTTTGAAAAATGGGGTTTTTATTTGTTGAGTCCTACTTGTGCATCATCTCTTTGTTGTGTTGCTCTTCTTGATTTGGGCAACGTCTTCCTGTCTCCACCTCGGTCTATAATTCAATTGACGGGAAAAGTGTCAAATAAGCCCCTCTACTAATACGGAAAAGTCAATTAAGCCCCCAAACTCAAAAAACACCCAATTAAACCCACGAACTATAAAAAATGAGGCAAAACAGTCCTTTTAGCATGTAATTAACCAATTCCAAGTAAACCTTTACACGTGACGACATCCGACAGGTGGCCACAAATGGCAACACGTGACGACACGTGTGCGACACGTGGACTAATGGAATCGGGAACCGGTTAATTACATGTTAAAAGGGTTGTTTTTGCCTCGTTTTTTATAGTTCATGGGTTTAATTGGGTGTTTTTTAGTTCGGGGGCTTAATTGACTTTTTCGTATTAGTAGGGGGGGCCTATTTGACACTTTTCCCTTCAATTGACAATTATTCTAACCAAAGTTTGTCCAACAATATTTTAGAAATATTTTAAGTGAGCGTTCCTAAAAAGCTCCTAATATGATCTCAAATTTTGTAACGATGTGATTAAAATAAGAATAAATAATACTCGGGTTTAATATAATGCACCAAACCCCCTTGTGATATGGAAATTCGGCGCATTAGCACTCATATGATTTGAAAAATGCGTCAAATCCTCTTGTGTTTTAATTAATTTTGTGTCAAATCCCTTATGTGAACGAATTAAATAGTCAAATAAAAGAAAAATGATCAAAATTTTTGTATGATTCAGATATCTTGACATATTTACTTGCATATTAAATCAAAATATTAAGAAAAGTAATTTCCAAATCATTAAATTTATTCATAAAAGGGGTTTTGTGCATGATCAATTAAAACAAATGGGGATTTGACGCATTTTTTCAAATCACAAGGGATTAATTCGCTGATTTTCTATATCACGAAGGGGTTTGGTGCATTAAACCCAATAATACTCCTTCTGTCCCACTAACAATGAGGCAAGAGCGAGTGACACGCAAATTTGTAAAAAGATGTTTATGTGGTTGATATTGAATTGATAAAATAAGAATAAAGTAAGAATGATTTAGAGCTACACAAACTTTATTAAATAAGGTATGCGACAATCTTATGAGACGGACTAAAAAAAGTAAAATGAGACAAACTTAGATTAAGATTATAATAGGTAAACCCTAAGTAATAATGTTATTTTAAGTCGATCCCATAAGCAATTCATCAACAATTCAACATCCCTTTATTTATTTTATACTTCCTCCGTTCTTAAATAAATGCAACGGTCAACAGTTCACACTTGCCGAGACACAACTTTGACCATTAATATAAATGATTTTGTATTAGTAAAAAATTAAACAAATTAGATTATGAAAATTTACAATGAGACAAGTTTAACGATATTTTTTTCATAAAATAATATTATTACATTAATAAATAAAACACAATCAAAGTAGAACATGTGAATAATGTAAAAGTCAAAGTGTTGCATTTAGTTAAGAGAGGACTGCTCAGGTCCAGCCGGAAGGACGGGAGCAGCCGTCCGAACTTCACTGTTTGGGGCGGTTCCCGGTGTAATTTTTCGATGAAATTGTTTGAGCATGTTTCTCATCATGTCTAGTTTGCCCATACCAAATTTCAGCTCAAAATTCGACCGGGAAGGCAGTCAAATAAATTCTTGAAACTTACTGCACTTTATATATGCACAGAATGTGCAGTAAGCTTCAAGAATTTATTTGACTTCCTTCCCGATCGATTTTTGAGCTGAAATTTGGTATGGACAAACTAGACTTGACGAAGAACATGCTCAAAAAATTTCATCGAAAAATTCCACCGTGAACCGCCCCAAACAGTGAAGTTCGGACGGATGCTCCGGTTTCTCCGGAGGGACCTGAGCATTTCTGTTATTTAAGATTTGTAGTATTAAAAAAATACGGAGACTTTAAAAACCGGAGTCATCCGTAAAATGAGTCGAGAATTCCGCTATTAATTAATAGCCGTCCAGTCTAATTAAAGGACTACTCCGTATTATTCTTTATTTCTTTGCCCAACCGCCCCGAAATCTACGTTAATGCAAATCACACCATTGAAATTTAAAATATCCTCCAACCCACTTCTAATCACAGCCGTTCGATCCTTCCTTGCCCTCAATAAATAACGCAACCTCTGCGTAAGGGTTATCCAAGTCAGACGATCTTTTCAGAGTGTGTTTGTCATTGCTTAAATTAAGTGCTTTTTGGCTTTTAGATTAAAAAAAGTTAAAAGAGGTGTTTGGTAATCCCAACTTCTAATTATAAAAAGCACTTTTAATCTAAAAGCTGGAAGCTGCTATCTGGTTGCTTCTAACTGCTTTTAGGTTTTTTTGTAAATACAGCAAACTCCAATGGCATGTATAATGGCAAATTAGTTCATCAAAAACCCAAAATATCCTTGCTTCTTACGCATCAAATCCCTGTTGTCCCCATCCCTTCTGCGCAAGGGCCATCTCCCGATGGTGAAGCTCGAGCAACAGGACTGCCGGAGATGGAGGAAAAACGGTGGAGCTCTCATCTGCCTGCGCTTACTCGTGGTAGAAACTCCCGAACCCAACTCCCGATGGTGAAGCTACGAGCAATAGGACTGTCGGTCTGTTGGAGATAGAGGGAAAACGATGGAGTTCTCAATTGCCTGCGCCTGTTCATGGTAGAACTTCTGAACCCAAGTTCCAAACTCCCAAGTTTCAAATTCACAGCCAATTGAAGAAGAAAGTGAAGACGGTTGAGGTTTGCAGCTATTATGGAAATCGGAATTGCAGGGGTTGACAATTCCGGTCTTGAAGCTTTGGGCGACGGTGACTTTACCGATTACTTGGGTGTTTGTAGTCTTTCAATGCCACAAGGGTATATTTGTAAATTATCAAAATATTACATCTCAAATCACTTTTTTATCAAACACTCCAACTTTTACCTTTCAATAAAAATCACTTCTATTTCCAAACACTATCTACTTTTACCTTAAATCACTTTTCCAATAATCTCTTAAAAAAATCACTTCTAAAAAGCACAAGCAATCGCAAACACTCCCTCCATCGTTTCATCTAGATCTGCATCTCATCAAAATTTGAATTTCGTCTCCAATTCCCCTATTGATCTCTCTAGATGTGTATTCAATTGAATCACGGATTTTGCCCTGCTGCCTTATTGATATTGTTCGACGAACGCGGCATGAACAACTAGATTTGGTGCCGGTTTGTGTTGCATCGCTGACGGAGTAACCGGGCTATTCATACACGGTCATATCTGGTATTTGATTTTGCATCCCGACGTGTATGTTCTTATTTTCCTATTTATCACGAAGGCCATCGATTTCTTTTATCTGTTAATACATTGGAGAACTTGTTTGCTCAAAGGATATATCTTCTCGTTTACATATTTTGGAACGATCTAGACTATTATGCTCTGAGATCGGTTCTTCTTTGATGTTCTAGATCATGCGATATTGACTTTAAACTTCAGAACGTCGGTTGGATCTGCTGTTTCTGGTTTGCGATCTGGATTTGGTCGAAGGCGTCCACCTCGAATCGGATACATCAGCAACACGGATGGCTGTGGTTGATGAAGGTTAAATTGGTTTGTTGGTTGTTATGTTGATATATGTGGCACTCTCTGTTATTCAAGTAAGCAAGTTGTGATGATTATGCATGCGTGTATAGGTAAAGAAGAGGCCTTACTGTAGGCAGGATAGTGCTCGATAATTGTGATTCGTAGAAACTGTTGTCCTAACTGACCTTTGCCATGGCGGGTGCGCTCTCATGGCAGGTCAACCATCATAATAAAATTTCTGGTTTTTGTTTTCGGAGGGGAGATGGTACGGGATTGCCCGGCTCTCCCCTCTGGGTGTCGCGTGTCTCTCTTTCCCTATTGCTCTCTTCTCATCTGGATCTGAATTCGAGGCAAAATCACCTAACCAGGGTCTATGTTATCATATCTTGTTGCTTGTTCAAGATTGGATCTAAATCCAAATATCTTGGGCAAGCAACTAAGAATAGATTCCTGCTCAGATGCATATTGAACTCATGTACTGCACCAACAACAGAGAATCGATTATTGCTTCACCAATCAACAAATGCGGCTAAAGTATTTACCAATTTTACAGCAAAGCAAATAAGGTACATAAATGAGCTCTCAATTTACCTATATCTTCATTTCACAGTTACTCTAATATGTTTTACTCAAATTTTGCTTACTTTAATCCATGAAATACTGGCTATTTAGATTTAGTTAATCTTAAAAATGAAATAGGGCATTCACAAACTGGTACTGTATACTGCAATCTGTATTGAATGAAATAATGGTAAATAATCTCATCTCTATTTTTAATGTAATGGCCTATCCGAATAAGTTTTGTTCACAATTACCGCCATATCTTTTTGTTCCGACCATCCAAATCATAATAGATCACTAGCAGCTATTCTGGTACTGTAGTTTATTGCTAGTGGTTCTATTAAGAATCTTTAACTTAAAGAACATCAATCTGTTAGGCTTGTTTGGCTTGACGATTGGTGTTATTTCTAACTAAAAAGGCTTTTGGATTAACTCATGCATCAAGCACAATGTGAATAAGCAATAAGAAGATGCGTTTACTGATTTGGGCGACCAACGAACAACCAGACATTATCATTAAAAGTTATCTATTTCACAATGAAATCTGAGTGTAAATGCTTAATTCAGCTTATATCGATTGTGCTATGGGAGAATACTATGTATGTATGTATTCACCGTTGGAATCTTTGACTCCATCATTTGCAATGGAGTCAAAGATTTATTATTTTTTGGCTTGAGAATATGATGTAATAAAGCAAAATGGCTCAGTAAAGTGTCTGTGCTTATTTGTTATGAAATAGTAGTCAGCCCATTGCATTTTGGATGCGATTTTCACTATGTTTCATCTGGAAACAGTCTTTCTGTACTTTAGCATAGTACAGAGGTAAGACAGCGTACATCCGATCCCCTACCCCACCATAGGTGGGAGCCTTTTTGGCACTGGGATAAATGAAAATGAAATATGTATGCGTTCTTAACAACATTCAGTTTCTTAAGTATTAATGATTTGCAGACATTGTATCAATATACGAATTCCAATGTTTTTGGTTAGAAGAAATTGTATCAATATCTTGTTCAGTTTCTTAAGTATTAAATGTTCCCATGTTGTTGCACAATTTGTACTCGTATTGTTTAGTGTTGTACCTTCTAGTTCTAAATAGAGGAACTCTTGGATCATTATCAACTTTGAAGTGGTTGCCCTGTTATACAAATATCATTATGAAGCTGGAATGGGATTCGACAGCATGGTATGGCTAAGAGCACTACAAACATGTTTGGATGAATGGAGGATGACGTTCAGCAATCTGTACCTCTACATCTCCCCTTAATTGTCTATGGTATAGATATCAATAAATTGGTTACCAAAGGATGGATGGACCCAGTATTCTATGTATCTTTCTTCCTAAATCATTACTGCACATAAATTTGACTTATTTGCCCTATTTACCATTTGAACTATTGTATTAGCTTTTATCATTTGGATCAAATGATTTCTTGTTACGTTTCACATTTTTTGTTGTCTTAGTCCATGCCTCTGGTTTGGTAGAACTATTTTGTCTTTAGTTTCATACCGTCAAGCTTCTAAAAGCTTTTTCTACGATGGAATCTGGTTTTGCTGCACACAATAAAAACCACGATAATTCGTGTGCGATATTGCAGTCATTCAAATGGATTATTAGGTTTTGGTCTTGTGCACGATAGATATGCTGGTTCCCTTATTGGAAAGGGGGCTACAAGTAAAGTGAACCAGTCTTTACTATAACTTTATCAAAACCATGATAACCATTGCTTTGACCGGACATGTTACATATTTCTTTTTTTTTGCATTATAAAATTAAAATTTTGAAACTTGGGTTTTGATTGTTCTGAAAAGTGTTTATGACTGACTACGTGTATTCCTTCGTCCCATTTTTCTATATTTGCTTTTTGTTAAATTCGAATCGGTGTTGTTAAAATCCAGTAATGGCAGCTGCACTGCAGATGCTTGTGGTGGATTTAAAGCAAACTGCGATGGTGATGCATACCAGTGCTATGTAGCACATTGGAGGACGCTTATGCGGTAAATGGTGCCTTGTTGCGATTCAGTAACTAGTCGTTTGAAGATTTGAACAAGTGCCTGGTTTTTTTAGCTGCCTGTGTTTACCCACCGAACCCTAGTCGAAACAAAACTAAACCAAATGAAAGTGGTTATGTAGCTTCCTCCCCGCGATTGTCATTCATCAAATTCCTCTAGTAAGCTTCTCATCCTTAATAGTCATAACTTTCCTATTTTGTTGTGAAGTGTGATCCTTGTCTCCTGCAAAATTATTTTATGCTTTTATGGCGTGTCCTCGGTTCTTAGTTCCTTTTCCTCAAGTCTTTCATGTTTTTCAAATCGTTCAGGATAGCTGACTTGACCACTCAGGGTTTAGCCTTGTCTAAGGTGGAACTTGGTGAACTTTGACCAAAATACTTCTTCCTTGTTCAAATGTTTGGTATACTCTTTAAAATTATTTTAATTTCAATTTTTGATAAACTTTTACCTTGTTACGTTTCCACAAAACAGTGAGTAACTCTTTCTTTTTTTACTTTTCCTTGAAACAGTCGATTACTTTATGCCTTTTTTACTTTTTTTTTATACTCATTTATCATCTCTTTTTCTTTTTTCTACGTCATTCATTATTTCATTTCTTTCCAACCAATTTGTCAAACCATATTCTAACAAACATTTCAGTATGTAGGCAGGAGGAACAATATTACTATATTTTTCATATCATCACTGCGTTTCGCAAAAATATGATCCTAGTACATGAATAACACTAGATGTAAGGGAGTGGATGCATTGAGGCATGTGCCATCAGAATTCGTAACTTCCTGGGTGCAAGACTGCAAGGATTATTATCCAACAAGATATTCCGGTTAATGATGCATTTCTGTGCTTCCAAAGATCTGGAAAGGTATTCCAGCAGGCCAGTGGGTTCTGTGTTGATCCACCTGGGTACAAAAACAGTGTCTATTCGAGGCAGTTATGTTGTTTTAAATATCAACTTTTAACTGATATTTACAAGTTTTAATTGAGATAGAGGAGGCAGAAATGATTAGGGTTTATTAGGACAATATATATACATATATATGGATTGTATGCCTCTATAAAAAGAGGTGGGTTCGGGATTTCGGACGGGTCGGGTGGGTAAAATCCAAGTCCTACTCGGGCCATTTATATTTCGGCCTTTTCCATTTCGGTTTTTGGGTTGGTTGTTTGGGTCGGTTGACCCTACCCGGTCGGCTAAAATCCGAAATATCTGAAATTAATTTCGGGCTGGGTCGGGTTTTTCTCAGCCCTATTTGAGATTGATAGCTAGTGGAACGAAACCCCACAAGGCGCCACAACAGTTTACGCCTTTTAGACAGCGTCAACGATGAGGTCTCCCCGATGGCCAACTATAATGGTGTATCCATCCGATCAATCACATTGATTATCTGCAGAGGAGTCCAGGAAGCTATATGTTAGAAGTCCAGAGTAAAACATAAAATAAAATAATATTGTGAGTAATATTTCCAGGATTTTGTGGCAAGAGTCTTGATTACTTCTGGTTAGCTTCTTCAATTCTTAGTCAGTACATCGAAGTTTACTAATATTTTATACTCAACAATGCTTCATGTACCCACTTTTATACCCACCTTATACCCATCATGTTTGTGAAGGTTTTTTTTGGTCTGTGAATCCGGTTCACAAACCTTATTTCGTTTGGGCAAAATATTGTTTGTAAACCAAGGTTCACAGACAAATAAACACTTCACAAACATAGATGGGTACAAAAGTGGGTACAAAGATCATTTTTTTTTACACTATGCAAGTGTATGTGCACGGTGTTTACTATGGAACTTCTGAAAAATCAATCAATTTAAAATTGAACCTACGTATGTGGCCATGAGCTCGAGTTGGAAGAGCGCTCAAATTTTCCATTTGAGAGGAAGGTGGTTCGATTCCGCCTGGACACTTGAGGTTTTAGTAGATTGTTAGGTTTTTTTGTGGCAATTGTTATCTTTTAACAAGGAAATATTGCATATATGTTACATTGTTTTTACAGGCTAAAGTAATAAATTGAGAATGGTGTTCGCAGGTTGGGGTGGGAATGTTTCACGACTGGATACATTCTAACAGATTTTGATCCCATTATCCCATATACAAGTATATGAGAACTCAAGCAGAGATACTACTGATTAGAGAGGTGATATTTCTCGGGTGACTTCTTAATAGAGTGAATTGGAGATACTTTCTGATTAAGCATGCATGAATGCTCCGGTTCTAGTTTAAGTACAAGCACGTATGTCTACCCTACATTTTTTATATCACAAATAGTAAAACATATTTTTTATAGTGCAATGTGATGTAATATTAGTCATGTAGTTGTTATATTTAATTTCTTTATATCATATTATGACATACTTTTTTTTATATTAAGTTTTTGTGTATTTAATTTTATAATACTCATATTCATGCAATCAAAGTATCATTATACATGAGGAATTTCCCCTACATTTTCCTCTTTTCTTAAAATTTCATAGAAAAATATACTCCCTCCGTTTCTTTTTGGTTGACACACTTTCCATTTTTGGACGTTTCAAAATGAATGTCACACTTCTTTATTTTCTTATTTGGTAAACAAATACTTCGTATTTACCTAAACAGTGCAAAACAGTGCCAAACAGTGTTCAAACAGTGCCAAACAGTGTTCAAACAGTGCCAAACAGTGTATTCTACAGTAAAATTGGCCCCTCAATAACTTTTTTTTCCTTAAATCTTGACAAGTCAAACTGTGTCAACCAAATAGAAACGGAGGGAGTATAAAGAACTACGGAGTAGCTCAGAAAATTTATAAAAAAACGCTACAACGAATACGAATATATAAATAGGAAAGAAAATTTTTAGGAAGAAAGAATGAAAATCGTATGTGGTATCGTTTTTAAGAAGATTTGTAGAAGGCGGAATTTGTGGTTTAATGATTTGCAAAGAAAATAAAAAAACTTGAAATAATAGGTCATCAATCGGTCAGGGACTATTGAATGAGGATGTTTTTACTTGGACTGTAATTTGTCCCAAACCAGTTCAGACCAGACCAGACTTGGATAGTTGTAAAATACAAAGAAACTAGACCTTACTAGACCAGACTAGCAAATTACAGTTCAACTAAAAACATCTTGAATATGACGTGTACATGTTAGATTATTTTAAAGTCGATCGCCAGCTTTCGAATTAGACTTAGAGTTAATCACCTTTAAAAAAACAATATAACTTGCAGAACACCTCAATCTAGGGGTGGACCCAGGCCGGGTCTAGGACCGGTCGAGCCTCGATTCAAGAAAGGGGCGGCCCGGAACCGGCCCGGGTAACCCCCGGGTCCAGTTCGGGCCGGGTCACCCACCCGGTTCACGGGCCGGGCCGCCCGTCGAGCCGGGCCTTTTAATTTTTTTTAAAACTAGTATTATACCCGTGCGATGCACGCTTGGAGATTTTTTTTTCAAATTTATTTGCTCTCACTAATTCAAATTACTCTATCAATTGATGACAACATCTATCTTCGTGCAATATTGATATAGCTCAAAGCAATAAAGAAAAATACTTATGAATCAATACTTTTTGTCCAACACTCTCACCTATTAAAATCTTCCCTTCCAAAACATGATCACCGAGCCTCGTTAGAATGAATCGAATGTCTTTATATGTTTTCGAATTAGTAATCACATGATGCTATATATTCTGTGTCTAGGCCATAAAAATTCTGAACCTTGAACTCTATTAAGTACATAAGATGTATGAAAACATTTTGTAATATCAGGATCTATTCAGAAAAGGAACAATGCCCAAAATCCAAATACACACTTATCTATTAGGAACATTTTGTAGTATCACGATCATTTTGACTTGTCATTTATAGGAATATTTTAATAATCTAATTAGGAAAATAAAGTTATTGGGTAAATGGGAAAAAATGCATATGAAAAATAAATCCAAATTAAATTTAAAACATGTAATAAAAATTATATTTAGAGTATAGAAAGAATTCCATAAACACAAAAATATAGATCTTGAACATTTGAAAACTGCTCAAATATTTTATTTAGCACTAAAGTAAAGGTGGATATTATTGAGAATGAAGAAGTCTCTGTCATTACATGGGCCGATGATACACTTGGTAGAATAAATAATTGTATTTATGTAAAGTATCTCAATAAGCACTGAGATTAACTGATAGTAGAAGTGTGTATATAGTGAAAGATGATTGTGAAACAAATTTTAAGTATTTACTTAAAATTGATCGCAAATAATAAAATATGAGAATATTGGGTACAATCTCTAAATATGAATCCTCTGATTCTTCACTTGCAATTTGATATGAATATAATTAAAGAATTTAATTTAAAATTAAATCTCTAATTCTTCAAAACTCGAACGTTCTTCGATTCTTCGAATCTTCGTTCTTGAGATCTTCGAATCTTCGAACTTCATTCTTCAGATCTTCAAATCTTCTTGAATGCAAAATTCAATATTGAAGGGCCTCCGGTTTCAAGTAGCTTGATCTTCAACAAAAGGGCCGTTATGTGGCTTGATCTTCTGTTAAAGGGCTTCCCGGGATATATGGCTTGATCTTCAATTGAATATTGATTCAATCTTCATATGAATATCTTCAAATCTTCAAAGATTCGTTCTTCATATCTTCGAATCTTCAAAGCTTCGTTCTTCAGATTTTCGAATCTTCAAGCTTCGTTCTTTAGATCTTCGAACGTTCTTCAACTTTTGGCTTTGTTTGATCAAGAATCGATGAAATCACAAAGGATTATTCATATATTCTTGACAAAAACGTGGCTTGATCTCTTCCTCTTCTTCGGAATCCTTCAGAGCCTTTCGGGAGTTCTTCAGAGCTTTGCTGCAGCGTTTCTTCGTCTGGAAGTTCTCCTCCCCATTCCTCTCAACTGAGACCCCTATTTATAGGTGTGGAGGGGATGAAATATGCTTTAGGGTTCCCAAAATTCGTCCATATCATTTGGGCTCCAATAAAAATGGGCTTTGGGCTCTATTTGCTTGCAATTTAATAGCTAGATTAATCAGCACTTGTTCGATGTATCTGGACATCCTTTTTAACAAGGTTCACAACCATTTTTCAAGCATATGGGCATATTTCTTAACCAGATTCATTGCTCTCTTCATCAATTGGATCGTGACTCTTATTCATTGGGCTCAAAATGGAGAAATTAAAAGGACCGGTCCATTTTGTTAAAGACTTAACTTATAATTAAATTAATTGGATATTTTAAATGATCCAAATTAATTTAATCACTTAATTTTGTCCAGTGGATCCATATTAATATTTTCCTTTTGGTTCGAGTAGTCTAGTCTAGATAATAGTCCAGTAGCATTTAAATGAGGCTCAATGACAATAATAACTCTTCAAGGATATCTCAAAAGTCCAATAAATTTATGAGCAAATGACCCATTAACAGAGCCGGTGTTGGGGGCCAGGCACCTAGGCCATTGCCTAGGGCACCACATTTGGGAGGGGCATTTTTTTTTTTTGAAAATACTACTCGTATATATATATATATATTAAATATTAATATTATTTATACATTAATACGGAGTAGATAACTATGAAGCTTCCAATATACATAGGGGCGGATAGAAAAGTCAAAACTAACAAAGGAACCAAACAATTGAAATGTGTGCCTGGTAGCCGATGGAATGACCCAATGGAAAATTAGGATAATCTAATACGGAGTACTAGTAGTCTATTAAACTATTACCCAGTCTATAGTCCATAGATTCTACTCTTTCACCATCTGAATTTCAAATTAAAAATTACGGAAGCAAAAGAATTACAAAAGATTATAGTAAACACTAGCAATTCTGCCACCTATTGTCTGCAATCCAAAGTTAATCCAAAGTTATCCACCATTCGAACTTCAAATTTTAGCATTGGCCATTGGGTAATCTGTTATACTCCGTATATAATATTTGATTCTTTCATTCTTTGCTTCTTGGGAAAAATAAATAAAATACCCCAAACTTTAAAGGCATGAGAGATAAACAACCCAAACTTTCATATGTAATTTAAATACTTCAAACTTTATATAAAAAGTTATTTTAGCACCATGATCATATATTATTCTTTTCAAAAATATAAATTTAAGGTGTTAATTTCATAATTCAAAATAGTAAATTAAAAATATTGCAATTATATAGAGTGGTAGTAGTATTTTTTATTTTACAATGGAAGTTTATAATGTTAATTGTATGTTCATGAATGCTAAAATATTTTAAATTATGAAATTAACACAAAAAAATAATATATTTGAAAGAAATAATACATGACCATGGTGCTAAAATAACTTTTTATAAAAAGTTTATGGTAATTAAATTACATATGCAAGTTTGGGGTGTGCTTATCTCACACCCTCTCAAAGTTTGAGGTATTTTAATTATTTTTCCCTTGATTCTTTGATTTGTTTCTAAAATCAGCATTAAGTGCATACAAATTGAAATTTGTAAATGAGTTATTCTACAAGACTATATTCAGTCTTTTAAAATTTGAAGTAGATAAAAACTACTCATATATCCGTTCAACAATGTCTCAAGAAAAGTTAAGTGAATTGACTAAACTCGTGTTATTATTCATAGAAAAAAGTGTGGTCTACTTTTGATTGTAATGATGTACTTTCAAATTTTTCAAAAGACAAGAAGAATAAGTTCTTAGGTAGTACTTTTAGAATTTTATTTATTTCTTAGAAAAAATTACATTTTCACATATTTTATATCAATTTTAAGTGAAATATTACCTTTTACTTTTAGTAAACAATTATGTTATAATTTTCTAATTACTTCATATGTAATTACATTATTAATTTGAAGTATTATTTGATCTAATTAGTCATTCTTTGTCTGGGGCATCAAAAGTCCTAGAGACGGCTCTGCCCATTAATTTTGAATGTCCACAAATGCCCCCTCGAGACTTACTTAAAAATCTTGAAGAGATAAAAGTAAGTCTCGATATATAAGTAGACCAAAATCTCTCCTCAAACGTGTTGCTAATTTTATTAAATTAGCCCATGTACACTTAAAAAACACTTTTGCAAGATGTCCATCAAATACTCCGGTAAAAGGACTCTATTTTGTCTCAGCTTTAGCATTTTATTAGGACTTCAATTCTTTCCATCTGCCTTGATGTTTATCGGCTTGTCTTATGAGCTTGGAGACTTTTAGTTCGATTCAAACTCCACCATCCATATCTATAAATATTGACCTTTGCTGCTTCGTATTGCACTTAGATACACCGTATTAGAATTGGTAGAAGCCTTAGGAAGAAAGACCAGCAAATCGACTGGTATACTTGCTCTTATCTTCTTTATTACTCCGTATTAAACTTCTATTTTCTTCTGTCAAATTGCAGGGGGAATTTCTAGAAGTTTATAGCAGTTGCACCAGAATGCAATTCTTGGTCATGAGATCAAATTCAGTTTGTGAGAGGACTTGGAGGCCCATCTATTGATATTCTGGAGGCATGTTTCGCTGAGGAATAAGAAGAGTGGCTGATCGACAGTTCCTGGGAGAAGAAGAAACTAACCAACTGGCTCCAGTTTTATTAACACGGATCAGGCTTATTCCGTTGCCGACTTTCTGATTAAAACTTTGATGAGGACGAGCTTCGTTATCCTCTTATACCCCATTACCCTGCACAATTAATTGTTGTCTGAGGCTGCTGCCTATTTGCTGAAGGAAGAAACCGACCGTTGACTGTTGCGGCTTGCGTGAAGGAGAAGAAGACCTGACCGGGCTCCGTTGACGAGAAACCATGGAGGGAGTAACCATAGCTATTGTTGCCGGAAGTTGGTGATTGACTTATTGAAGGCTGGAGTAATGTCGGGAGGTCTGCCCAAGCTCAAAATTGATTCTCGGCCAGAGGGGGAATTTGATTTGTCGCTCGGATTCCTCGCTGTACCTGGAAGAGGAAAGGCGCCGTCGGAGAAGGAGGCCTGGACGAGCTTGATGTTGATTTCCGGCGGGGAAGATGGTGATCGATCGCCATCTGATTTTTGCGTGCGAAGAAGATGACTGATTGCCGCTGCTACGTATTTGCTGGAGCTCCACAGTTTGTCTTTCCCATTTACTCCGTATTAGATACTGGGCTGTTGGAGATCTGAGATTTCTTTTTTTGATACTTTTAGGAATTTTATTTTTCCTTTTTAATCATTTTTAAAAAAAAAAAAACAATGCACCCCTTTTTTTAATGCAGGGACAATCAAGTCGTCGAACGCTTAAAGTCTTTAATGCATTAGTTCAACGCAATTGAGAGTCCGATATTCTACTGTTTCAAGTATCTTGAAGGTGACGCCATTCATTGAAAAGGAGGGAGCTTTGACCGATTGCCGGATTTTTGTTGATGCAACGGTTCACAGCTGATCCAAGAAGGTTAAAGCATGGCGGGGATTTGTCGCTGTCCCGAGGCAGGTGATCGGATTTCCACGCTAGTCGGTACCATCAAGACTTTGAAGAAGCTACTGCCTACTGTCCTACTCGTTCAGACTTGTCGTCGCCATTCGTTAGCCAAGAAGAAGAAGTTCAATTGATTACGACGAGGAAGATGAGAAGGTGCCAGTTCGTTTAAAAAAGAAGGCAATGAAGGGTTCCATTCCATCGCAGGCCGTTCATCCATCGCAGGGCGTTCAAAGAAGAGGAAAATGAAAGAGCTAGTTCCATCGCAGGTTACTCAAAGAAGATGACGCTGAAGGATTCCATTCCATCGCAGGTCGTTCAAAGAAGATGACAATGAAGGAACCAGTCCTATCGCAGGTCGTTCAAAGAAGAGGACAATGAAGGAGTCCGTTCCATCGCAGGTCGTTCAAAGAAGATGACAATGAAGGAACCAGTTCTATCGCAGGTCGTTCAAAGAAGAGGACAATGAAGGAGTCTGTTCCATCGCAGGTCGTTCAAAGAAGAGGACAATGAAGGAGCCAGTTCTATCGCAGGTCGTTCGAAGAAGAGGACAATGAAGGAGCCAGTTCCACCGCAGGTCATTCAAAGAAGAGGACAATGAAGGAGCCAGTTCCGTCGCAGGTCATTCAAAGAAGAGGACAATGAAGGAGCCAGTTCCGTCGCAGGTCATTCAAAGAAGAGGACAATGAAGGAGATAGTTCCACCGCAGGTCATTCAAAGAAGAGGAAAACGAAGGAGCTAGTTCCATTGCAGGTTACTCAAAGCATTACTTGCTAACAAATTGAGAGTTCTAATGATGTCTGCATCTCGAGACTCGTGCAGTTTTGCTGATTGTCAGCACCATTTGCTCCGTTGTTAGGACGATGGCGCTGATAAAAGACATTATCAATTAAAACCATTTCCGGTGAGGAGGAGACCTAAGAATTCTGAGAGTCTGGCCTTTTTTTCAAACGGTCAGTTGATTTTATCTGTTTTTTTTTTTTCATAATCCTCCCTTTGATATCCTTCCTTTAGATAAAACTTAATTGGGGTTTGTTTTGTTATAACTGAACTCAAAAATGAAACTTTTGAGCTGCCTACGTACTCCTATGAAGGAGATCAAGTCAAACGTAGTTCATAGGTACCATTTGAATTGGTAGTCTAAAAAGAGGTGGGGTGCCATACATAGTTTTAACTCATGCGGGCCAGGAGCTTGCCGTACACATTTTAAACTCTCGTGGGCCAAGAGTGTCTATGATTATGCTCACCCATAAACAAAGTGAGATGTTTTAGCAGTTTAGCCACTTACAACATCATTGGTGGTTTAAGGAATTCAACGTTTCATTTGACATATTTATACCCCGACATCAAGGGTACTAAATCTTCATATTGGTCTTCATATTGACCACGAGTGTGCACAATGGTCACTGGCTTGACTTTAAGTGCACTTCCGTAGGTCACTTTCACATTAGTTTCTCGCTTCATAAGAGATGGGATAAAACTTCTATACTCATTAAGACTTTGCTTTTCGAATTGAACTTTAGCAGATGCATTGCATTCACGTTTCAATCCCAATCTTTCATGAACATGCTTTCTTTTGAAGTTTTGTCCCATGCATGGGTCTTCAGCGTGTTTCACTATCATCGGGCCCATACCAAGACGTTCTTGTAAAGTCTTCTTTATGATCTTCTTTGGCTTTGGCCCCATTCTGCCAAAGATGGCGGGTCTTGATCTTGCCCCCCCAATCCGATCAAAGATAGAAGACTTCGGTTTAGAAGTCACTTCATCTTCTTCATCAGCACTGATATGATGTATTGCGGCTCTATTTATGAGGATCTTTATAGGTTTAGGTTGAACATAACCCAATCCAATGTGTCCTCGTAAATTTATTTGATTCAGTGTTCCTTCTCCACCAGCCTCCGGGATGAGTTTTCCCAACTTTTGTTCATTAGGATTAGACCCAGCCTTGGCCAGAAATTTGTATGTGTTTGGGTCAAATCCTTCATTTGTGCGTGCTTTAGGGAGATGAAATGCTTTAACATCATTCTCGTTTTTCACTTCATCCTCAGATGTGTTTTGAGGAGGCCTTGATATCTCAATCTTTGCAAGAGGGAATGTAAGCCTTTCTATGCCTTCAACAAGTTTCCCTTTCAACTTTGGTTCAATCAAGGGGCGATATGTTTCCTCTTGTCCAGCACCGTCTTCTTTAGAAACTTTGGTCTTTATGTAAAACTTCGCATCTGCAAAGTACGTCTCGGCTTCTGTAAACGGAGTTTCATCGGCCACTACCTTCTTTACAACGCCATTTTCTTCATACATGAAGCATTGGTGCCACGTTGAAGGAATTACACCGTTCTCATGGATCCATGGGCGTCCTAAAAGGAGATTGTATGAAGCCTTTGCATCAATCACATGGCATAGAGTGTTTGCCTTCAGTCCGCCGATGATCAAATCAAGACGTATCATTCCAATCGCCCTTTGCCCCCCTTGATTGAAGCCTTGAATCATCAAGCGGCTTTGGGAGAGTTCATCCATTGATATATCGAGGTCTTTCATAGCTCGAACCGTCAGAATGTTAATGGCAGACCCTTGATCAATCATAATTCTTTTGAATCTTTGTCCACGAGTGTATCCTTCAACAAAAAACGGACGATTATGGGGAGTAGCACCCAACATGAGATCTTCGTCTTTAAAGACAATGTCAGTGACGTATGAAGTAGATTTTTGTGCTTCGACCACTTCTTTCTTAGTCAAAACTAGAGATGGACATCCACTTGAACTCTCAAGTTCTTCTTCATGGGTGCTAAGACAAGAACTTGAAATTTGAGTGAGCTCGTTCTTGAAATCCTTTGGCATAAAATCGTTGAGAGTAATCACCCTTCGTGCAGTCTTGGAACGAACACGATCCTTCTTTTGTTTCTTTTGCTTTAACTCGTTTATCGGTTGTTTCCTGACCCAATTCTTTACCACTTTCCTCGGTTGTGGCTTAGGTGTGTGGTTCTTCTTTTGTTTCTTTCGAGTTACCAAGGTCCATGATCTTCCTTGGTCATCAACATCCTCAAGTGCCATTCTTTTAGTGAGAGGAAGACATTCTTTCATTTCCTTGACAGTAAAAGGGAGCTTATGCTTGTGAGAACTTGGGTCATTGTTGGCCATGAGCGGAGCAAACCTACCAAACGTAATGTTGATTTGGTTTGTGCTTGCGGTAGAATCAGCTAGTTCAATCTTTCCTTCGCGGGCTAAGGCCATAATTTTATCTTTAAGCACCCAACACTTCTCAGTGGGGTGACTTAAAATTCGATGATACTTGCAGTAGTTGTGGTCATCAACCTTTGTAGCTTCCTCGGGTCGTTTGGACTCGGGCAAATTTATGAGCTTCAATCTCATCAGTTCCTCAAACATGGGAAGAACGTCAGAGTCTAAGAAGGGGTACTTCTTTTCCAACATCTCTTCTAAAAATGGTTTAACACGTTTTGACGTTTCCAAGTCAACCCTAGGGACTTGTTTTGAATTTTGAGTGAAGATCTTAACAGGTGCAACCTTCGCGACCATTGTTTCTTTCTTTTCAAACTTGGAAAAGGGCTTGCCCCCATTCTTGGTATCTTGCTTTTCAACAACATCATTGATGGGATATATACCCACAGTTTTCCTTCTACTGCTCGTAATGCTCAACTCCATGTTACGAGCTTTGCTTGCTAGCTCATCAAAAGTGTTTGGATTGACTCCTTTGAGAATGTAGCACAATTCCCAATGCATTCCTTCAATGCACATATCGATAGCGGAACTTGTAGATATTCGTTCTTTGCAGTTTAGAGCAAGATCCCTCCAACGCTCTATGTAAGCTATCACAGATTCATCTTTCCATTGACGAGTAGTTGTTAGTTCGAGTAAACTGACCACTCTCCTTGTGCTATAAAAACGGTTTAAGAACTCACGTTCCATATCTTTCCAGCCATCAATGGAACCGGGCTCCAAATCAGTATACCAGTCAAAGGCATTTGCTTTCAAAGAACGCACGAACTGTTTGACAAGGTGATCTCTGATTGTTCCCGCATTATTGCAAGTTTCCACGAAATGGGCAACATGTTGCCTTGAATTTCCCTTCCCATCAAACTGGATGAACTTCGGCAGCTGGTAACCAATGGGCATCTTTAGATCCTCGATCCTTTGAGTGTATGGCTTAACATAGGAGTAAGTAGATTTGCTTCCTTCCATCTTCCCCTTTATGGTTCTCATGATGAAGTCTTTAAGTTGATCAATCGGGATCATGCCCCCAGAAGTTGAGATATCCTTCCCTGAATCCTCTTGGTGAGGATCATTTTCTTCGTTCACTTCGGGATCCTTCTCATGAGTATGACTTGACTCGCCTTTCAAGCTTTCTACTTTGTTGTTCAGATCACTCAACTTTTGGTCTTGAGCTTGCATGAACATACTCATCCCTTCGATGACTTTAGTTAGATGGGCGATCTGTTCTTCCATAGACGTGGTGTTCGTTGTCATGGTGGGCATCACAGTATAGACATTTGACCACTGCGGAGTAGTCCTTCGTGGAGGAGTTGAAGGGGGAGTGAAGTTTGATCTAGATGATGAGCTCTCACCACCGCTTGTCCACTTCGGGGAAGTAACTTCACGTATGGGTGAAGAAAACTTCCGGGCCATCTCTTGCGCAATTCGAGATCCATCCATTGCATCGGGAGTAGTTCCCGAGGATGACTGCGCAGCCAGGATTCTTGATCGGCTCCTAGTGGTAGGGCCTTGCATGTTTTGATTTGAGCTTGATGATGCTCGAGAATTCAAAGTGAACACGGGCTTGCTTGACGCCATTGTTTTGTTTTCCTTGATTAAAAGTGAAGAGATGAGAGGTAGAGTTGTCCCACCGGGCGTGCCAAAAATTTGTGAAACAAATTTTAAGTATTTACTTAAAATTGATCGCAAATAATAAAATATGAGAATATTGGGTACAATCTCTAAATATGAATCCTCTGATTCTTCACTTGCAATTTGATATGAATATAATTAAAGAATTTAATTTAAAATTAAATCTCTAATTCTTCAAAACTCGAACGTTCTTCGATTCTTCGAATCTTCGTTCTTGAGATCTTCGAATCTTCGAACTTCATTCTTCAGATCTTCAAATCTTCTTGAATGCAAAATTCAATATTGAAGGGCCTCCGGTTTCAAGTAGCTTGATCTTCAACAAAAGGGCCGTTATGTGGCTTGATCTTCTGTTAAAGGGCTTCCCGGGATATATGGCTTGATCTTCAATTGAATATTGATTCAATCTTCATATGAATATCTTCAAATCTTCAAAGATTCGTTCTTCATATCTTCGAATCTTCAAAGCTTCGTTCTTCAGATCTTCGAATCTTCAAGCTTCGTTCTTTAGATCTTCGAACGTTCTTCAACTTTTGGCTTTGTTTGATCAAGAATCGATGAAATCACAAAGGATTATTCATATATTCTTGACAAAAACGTGGCTTGATCTCTTCCTCTTCTTCGGAATCCTTCAGAGCCTTTCGGGAGTTCTTCAGAGCTTTGCTGCAGCGTTTCTTCGTCTGGAAGTTCTCCTCCCCATTCCTCTCAACTGAGACCCCTATTTATAGGTGTGGAGGGGATGAAATATGCTTTAGGGTTCCCAAAATTCGTCCATATCATTTGGGCTCCAATAAAAATGGGCTTTGGGCTCTATTTGCTTGCAATTTAATAGCTAGATTAATCAGCACTTGTTCGATGTATCTGGACATCCTTTTTAACAAGGTTCACAACCATTTTTCAAGCATATGGGCATATTTCTTAACCAGATTCATTGCTCTCTTCATCAATTGGATCGTGACTCTTATTCATTGGGCTCAAAATGGAGAAATTAAAAGGACCGGTCCATTTTGTTAAAGACTTAACTTATAATTAAATTAATTGGATATTTTAAATGATCCAAATTAATTTAATCACTTAATTTTGTCCAGTGGATCCATATTAATATTTTCCTTTTGGTTCGAGTAGTCTAGTCTAGATAATAGTCCAGTAGCATTTAAATGAGGCTCAATGACAATAATAACTCTTCAAGGATATCTCAAAAGTCCAATAAATTTATGAGCAAATGACCCATTAATTTTGAATGTCCACAATGATTTTTTTTTTTATATTTCATGCCGGGCGGGACGAACACCTCTGCATCAAAAGTCGTCGCGCCACCCGTGGGCAAGGAGGCATTGATGTGGAGGTAATACTTGATTCCGGCCACCACTGCACCTGTTGCTCCGCCTTGAAAACTTCTATGAATTTCAGGGCAGCGTCCTTGACGGCTTCACCGACGGCTGCTTGCCGCTACGCCTGTTGTATTCTTCCACGGTGAACTTCCCCAGAGATTGAACATACGTGTTTTTCTCCATGTCCTTGATCTCTTTGCTGCCGTAGGTGCCCTTTTATAGTTGAGCAAACCGGCTAGAATTCCCATGAATGGCATGTCCCCAGGGACGGATCCAGGATTTCGAGTCAAGGGGGGCGAAATTTTTTCATTAGTGTAGGGAGTGAAAAAATTTCGCTAGTAAGCGGAACGGGAAAAAATCGCTAGTGTAGCGGGGCGAATTTTTTCGCTAGTGTAGGGCTCTGTGGCTAATTTTTATTTAAAAAGTTCCATTATTACATACTACATACACGATGACAATTAAATCTATTATATTCTAATTCTAATTATAGACAATGAAAATATAACTTTGATTTAATAAGTGCTCGAGAAAAAAATATTGATACATTAAAGCTTAAGAAATGACAAATTAAAGGGAAATTATTTGAAAATAAGAAAGGATATGATATACGTAGTATAACATTTTATGATATTATTTGAAGGTAAAGTGGTTAAAGTTAAAGGTACACATCAACCAATATTTCTTAAGTAACTTATGCCTTGTTTAATCACATGATTCTTAACAGGATAAAGAATTGATTTTTGAATTGAGATTTTTGTCTACCAAGAAGGGTATTTGTGGGTCATGATGAGTTTTCTTAATATTACAATAGTATGCATGAGATTACTATACTTAGAATAATATGATACGTAGTAATGTTAATTCATATATATCTGGTGTATATTATATTTGCATTAATTCTAAAATAAGTTAAAGTATTATCTATTCAACAAATTGTTTTTAGAAAGTAAGAGGTAAATGAAATGTGTAATTTAATGTCAACAAACATTTATACTATTTAACTACTGTATCTGATATTCAATATGTTTTGATATCTTACAAAATCGAGTACTAATTATCTAATAAAAATAATTAAACATTACAAAACTAAGAATTTTTTGGTACCCTAAGTCTTAAACAACGAGTTCTATTGTTTATTTTTTTAAGTTATGTAAATTATTTTAGATTCTACTTCTTTTAAATCTCCAATTAAGCATTGCATTATGTGAGCCTATATATTAATTTTGAAAACTTAAAGTTAAGGGGGGCGAAAACATATATACCTAATTAAAGTATGAAAATTTGATGAAAATATTATATATATAGTAGAAAAATTTGGAAGTCC